ATTTCGTATCATATGCACGCGAAAACTGCGTATCATATGCACGCCAACAAATTTCGTATCATATGCACGCGAAAACTGCGTATCATATGCACGCCAACAAATTTCGTATCATATGCACGCGAAAACTGCGTATCATATGCACGCCAACAAATTTCGTATCATATGCACACGAAAACTGCATATCATATGCACGCCAACAAATTCCATATCATATGCACGCCAAACACATGCGTATCATATGCACGCCAAAGTCCATTTTTGCGTATCAATACCACGAGTTTTCGTTTTTATTTGGCATACTATTTATACGCATTTTCATGAGACCGGGCTCGATTTTCAAGGCTGTAGAGTTTAGTTTAGAGATGCTATGGCATGTTCCTAACAATAGTCTGTCTGCTGTTACGTCCCCACCAATGCCAAAATCAATCCTAACACCCTTGATAGTAGGCATAAAGAAACAAACAAAAAAAGTATTTTTAAGAAATGAAAACCGAAATAAATTATTTTCATTTTTGAATGATTAATTCTGCAAATATATCAGCTGGTTGATGGATTTTCTTTTCTTTATTTAGGCTATGTAATATTTGATATTTATTATAATTTGTTATTTATTATATATTTGTTATTTATATATTATTAGGTGTCATTAAAAATAAAACAGACAGTATTACATCCTACCTGCTTTTTCTTTTCTTTTGCAAAGAGCTCAGATCAAATCTCCTAAAGCGCTGCTGCTTTCTGCTGTTTAAGGTCAATGCTGATGAATTTATCAGATCGCAGGTGGATCATGTTTACGGAAAAATTAAAAGGTGTGGTTTGGGGAAAAATGACAGCTTACATAAGTATGATTAATATAGTTGAACACTAGAGGAGTGAAGGCGCCCCTCTTTGGTCACATGAGAAATCACAGAAATCACAAACTATTGTTTTTTTAGTCCGTTATTTCCAAGTTAATGGTCATTTTTATGTAATTTATCATTTGTGACCTTACTTTTTTGTGTGCTCATTCATTTTATATATTCATTTCCACTGATGTTATTTATTTGGTGCTCATAATCTACACTGAGCATTTCTAATGAAGGAAAAATAAGTGAAAGTTTTCTGTGAATTCGCAGTAACTGGGGACATAAAACGCTTAACGTTTTCCAAAATCCATATTTTTCTGTAAAACAAAATTACATTATTAATCTTTTAATTATATTAGCAAAGTTTTATATTCATAAGACAAAAAGAAACTATCATATATTACCTTTTGTAACACTGATCTTAAAATATATTTCGAAACACTTTCTAATATGAGATCACAAGAAGCTTATAAAAACAATAAACTTTGTAAAGCTTTTCAAATTTATGTAAGTGCCCTAATATTATATAGCCTAGCACTTCAGTATTTTTTTCTGTTTTTTATGTTTATGTTCATTTTATGTTGTTGTTGTTGTTGTTGTTCTGTTTTACATGCTTTAAACTGTACGACATTGCCTTATATCTGCCTTGTACTTTTTCGCCTTGTATTTGAAAGTGATGGAACTAAATGAAATGTAAAAAATAAAATTAAAATAAAAAAAATAAGAAACGTGGCTTAATGCGTTAAAACAGCATTTTTAAAAGACCAAACTCATATCGTATTTTAAGTAATTTAAAAGTAATTTATTATTAGAATTTATTTATTTATTTATTTAGCTGTTTGATTTCTTCTGTATTTTAAGTTATTTAATATTTTAATTAATTTATTAATTTATTCATTCATTTATTTATTTAGCTGCTTGGTTTGCTCTGTATTTTATTAAATATTTTGATTAATTAATTAATTTATTAATTCATTTATTTATTTAGCTGCTTGGTTTGCTCTGTATTTTAAGTTATTTAATATATATAACAAAGAGGGAAAAATTGAAGGGGGTCTGAATACTTTCCGTACCCACTGTATATATCAAACTTTTTTGGTAAATGGTTTTTATTTTGCTTTTTTAAACACTATTTATTTAAATGTACTTTTTATGATTTTTTCTTTTTTCAGATTTTTGTCATTCATTCTTGTCCTCGTTAGTAAGAAGCACATTAGCCTTATTTTAACAGCAAATAATTTATTTTTGTGGAAGGTGACAAACATCATCCTCATTACAAATCAACAAATGAGAATCACATGATCAGTGAAATAACAGTGTTCATCAGATATATATAGACATCGGTGTCTTTATCTAAGTGTGCTTCAACCTTAGTGGACCACTTATACTGTTTTCAACAGCTAAAGATAAATAGATAAAATAACATACATTCATGCCTTACACATTATAATCCTGATTGTGACTATTGGAATCAATCATGTTGTGAATATAAACAGACGTACAGCACAAGACTGTGTTCAGAATGTGTACTAACATGCTATTTCTGCAGTGTACTGTGTGCAGTATGCAATTTTAAGTTAGCATGAAACTCCGGGATTTGCAAGAATGCATTTGTTCTATTGTGCAGTGTGCACTGGAATGCAAATTAAAACGTAAAATAAAATCAAAATATTTTAAAACATATAGTACGGCATTCTGAACACAGCCTCGTTTAGAAGCTTCATCACTCTGACCGCAGTTGCCATGACGATGCGCACTGCTCTGGACTCAGTTGCCATGGCGACTC